CACTGCTGCAGGTACAAAAGGCCTTGAATCAGTGGAATACTTCAGGTGGAGATCCAGGGGGATGGGTCTGCTCCATGTCTCCTGGATTTTCTTCCCTGCTAGCTCTCAGTGTATGTGCTAAGTGCCCATAAGCTGTCTCCTTAGGTGAGCGTGGGAAGAAAATGTTCCCATTTAACATGAAAATCTCAGACACCATTTAGAGATTTAGGTATTCTCCAATCTGCCCTACCCCAGTCTCCAGGGAGACTGTTCCCATGCCATTCTGCATTTATATTTCTGCACAGATCATTGCCCTGATCCAAGGGCTGCTTGGAGGATTGCTGGGGGAGCTTTTTTTGCACCACAGACACGGTGTTAGTGGCTTTGTATGAGCGTCACTGAATTGTTTCCAACATTCAGCTCCTCACCTGTCTGGGTGGTGTGTGAGGGCTGACAGACAGATGGATGGACAGACCGTGCTCTGTGTGAGAATGCAAACAGCTGAGCCAAAGCTTAATCCTCTCCCCAGCCCCTGACCTTTTTATTCAGGCTTGCACCTGGCAGGAGCAGCAATCATTCATGGATGTGGCCTCGGAAACAGCTGCAGATCTGACGCTGGAGTTAAATTTGAAAAGGGTGAAGCAGGCGTATGTGTGAGGGGGTAAATCAACAGAATCCCTTCCTAGACTAACTTTAGAGAGAAAACAGGGCTTTAAGAATATCAGCCGAGGCCTGCAGTGAGTACACCAGGTCTCTTCTGCTGAATACAATGATGTTTGTGCAGAAAGGTTTGCAGAACTGGGGCACAGAGAGCTGAGAGTGTGACTGTGACTCACTGCAGGTCCTGGCCATGTGCAGACACGGCTCCAGAGCAGCTGGGAGAGGAATGGGAGCAGCCTCGGGGTGAGCTGGGCAGGGCTGCGTGGTCACCACCAAGAGGATGAGCAGTTGCTGTGGCAGTTCTGTCACCCTTTGTGCCTAGCTGGGTCAGACCTGGCTGAGGAGCTTCTCAACGCTGCAGCCGAGCTGGGCTCTCAGCAGAGAACTGCAAATCCCTTTCCAGCACAAAAAGATTTTATTCCACCAGAGCAACTCCCAGCTTGGATCTGGCCGGACACTGCCCACCTGCAGATCAAACCAAGCTAAACCAGTGCAGATTCCTGCCAGTGCTGTATTTCCTGCAGGTTTTTTTTAGGGAATGCAGTTAGGAATAACCTGGCTGGCCTGGCAGAAGGCTGGACTGTAGGAATTGTTGTTTTCCATGGAGCTAAACACAAGGAAAATATATTCATGGTCTGATCCTGTCTTCAAAAAGAAGCAATTTTTAACAAACGGAGCAAGATTTGCAATAAAACTTGTCAATTTGTAAATGTTTGGTAGCAAGGCACTGCAAGGCAGCAGATGGAGGTGTGAAAGGGGTTTGGGTTTTTTCCCTGTCTAACACCTCCTTTCTCCAGCACTCTTCCTCTGTTTTAAGAATAACACTTCTTCAATAATGACTCACAGCCAGTGCCACAAAAATCCTGGCTGTCAGAAAAACTGCTGGGTGTCTGACAGGAGTGCAGCTTGCAGGGAACACTGGTTTCTTCTGTCTCTGCTGCACTCACAGCTCGGGGATTGTTCTGCTAGAAAGTGGCCCTACTTAGAGATTCCAGGCACAAGGCAATTACCTGTCTTTCCTTGCTGGATGTAATTAATACATGTGGTTTTCTTCTTAGGCATTTGGAATGGATCACATCATCCAGAGCTAGGAGATGAAAATTCCCCAGGAAATCAGGCTTCTCTTCTGGGAAAGATGGATAAACCCCACAGTGAACCAGTAGGGGCTGGAATATTCCCCACATCCTGCTAGATCTCTGCTAATCAGAAAAGAAAAGAGATCCTCTGCTCAGAAGGGAATAAAGACATCCTGAGGGATAATCCAGCTGATCCAGCAGAGCCACCTCACAGAATTTGCAGTTGTGTGGGGAGCTAAACCTCAGGAAAAAGAGCAATTTTAGTCTTCCTGGATGGCCTGAAGGTAACAATGCTGCCCTGTGCACCACAGTTACTGCCAGAGCAGCTGCAGGGATGGGAGCACATTTCTCAGTTATTGGAGCAGGGAATTGTGCTGGGATTCCTGGGTTCTTCCCCCAGCTC